GGCCAGAACACGTCAATTCAGGGCATCTCGAAGCCTGGGGTTCCGAGGATGACTCAGGCAAAACGTGCCCGAATACCTCGCGAACCACATCTTGGAATCCGCAATTGTGAGGACGTCTCGAGAGAAACGGGCCAGAACACGTCAATTCAGGGCGTCTTGAAGCCTTGGGTTCCGAGGATGACTTAGGCAAAACGTTCGCGAACCACATCTTGGAATCTGGAATTGTGAGGACGTCTCAAGCGAAACGGGCCAGATCACATCAATTCAGGGCTTCTCGAGGCCATGGTTTCCGAGGATGACTCAGGCAAAACGTGCCCGAGTACCTCGCGAACCACATCTTGGAATCCGCAATTGTGAGGACGTCTCAAGCGAAACGGGCCAGAACACGTCAATTCAGGGCTTCTCGAAGCCTGGGGTTCCGAAGATGACTTCGGCAAAACGTGCCCGAGTACCTCGCGAACCACATCTTGGAATCCGCAATTGTGAGGACGTCTCAAGCGAAACGGGCCAGAACACGTCAATTCAGGGCTTCTCGAAGCCTGGGGTTCCGAAGATGACTTCGGCAAAACGTGCCCGAGTACCTCGCGAACCACATCTTGGAATCCGCAATTGTGAGGACGTCTCAAGCGAAACGGGCCAGAACACGTCAATTCAGGGCTTCTCGAAGCCTGGGGTTCCGAAGATGACTTCGGCAAAACGTGCCCGAGTACCTCGCGAACCACATCTTGGAATCCGCAATTGTGAGGACGTCTCAAGCGAAACGGGCCAGAACACGTCAATTCAGGGCTTCTCGAAGCCTGGGGTTCCGAGGATGACTTCGGCAAAACGTGCCCGAATACCTCGCGAACCACATCTTGGAATCCGCAATTGTGAGGACGTCTCAAGCGAAACGGGCCAGAACACGTCAATTCAGGACATCTCGAAGCCTGGGGTTACGAGGATGACTTAGGCAAAACGTGCCCGAGAACCTCGCGAACCACATCTTGGAGTCCGCAATTGTGAGGACGTCTCAAGCGAAACGGGCCAGAACACGTCAATTCAGGGCTTCTCGAGCCTGGGGTTCCGAGGATGACTTAGGCAAAACGTGCCCGAGTACCTCGCGAACCACATCTTGGAATCCGCAATTGTGAGGACGTCTCAAGCGAAACGGGCCAGGGGGGCATCTCGAAGGATGACTCAAGCAAAACGTGCCCGAGGCGAACCACATCTTGGAATCCGCAATTGTGAGGACGTCTCAAGCGAAACGGGCCAGAACACGTCAATTCAGGGCATCTCGAAGCCTGGGGTTCCGAGGATGACTCAAGCAAAACGTGCCCGAGTACCTCGCGAAGCACATCTTGGAATCCGCAATTGTGAGGACGTCTCAAGCGAAACGGGCCAGAACACGTCAATTCAGGGCTTCTCGAAGCCTGGGGTTCCGAGGATGCCTCAGGCAAAACGTGCCCGAATACCTCGCGAACCACATCTTGGAATCCGCAATTGTGAGGACGTCTCAAGCGAAACGGGCCAGAACACGTCAATTCAGGGCATCTCGAAGCCTGGGGTTCCGAGGATGGCTCTCTGTGGGCCTTCGGGCGCACCCAACTCAGCCCCTCCCGGGCACCTCTCAGGCACCGCCGTACGGGTTGCTTGGATCTCTCTGAGCTGTCCCAGGCGACCCGGGCACTAGGTGCACTGCCCCCCCCGCCAGCCAAGACAAGCCCTGGATGGGGCCCAAAACAGCCCCAAAAGCCAACCGAAGTGACCAGCGAGCACCATACGGCTCCGAAACACGCCTCCACCCGGTAAAACAAACGGACTGGTCGAGACATCCCCACAATCTGGGCGCGAACGGGCCCTTGACACACCCCTCGTCGGCATAGCACCAGCCGGCATCACCAGGCAGGATCGAGCCGCGTCCAGCCCTGGCGACAAGAAGCGTCCCGAGAGCATTGAAAACAAGAGAACTTGTCTGACAGCAATACGAGCATCATCATTCCTCCCCCTCGTCCTCAGTCATCCTGCCCTCCTCCTCCTCCTCCTCCTCCCACTTCTCCTTCGCTTCGCACTCCTAAACGGTTACTGGGAATTGCGGGGACGTCTCATGCGAAACTGGCTGAACCCCCTCGCACGCGGCATCACTTTGCCAAGAATTGCGGGGACGTCTCAGGCCAAACTGTCCAGATCACCTCGCGGGCGGCATCGGTAAGCCTAGTGTAACAACGATGTCTAAAGCGAAACGGACGAGGCAACATCAGGTCACCGTATCCCCGAGCCCAAAAGTTCGGAGGATGTCTCACGCGACATGGGCAAGACCACCTCTCGCACAGCGTCGGGGAGCCCAAAGCTGCGAGGATGTTTCTAGCGAAACGGGCTGGACCATGGAAAACCTGGTCGTCTCGGAACGCAGACTTGCGACGATGTCTCATGCGAAACGGACCGAGCCGTCTCAACATGTTGCCAATTTCTCGACGCGCGGGCCCCTCGGGCGGCATTCTGCCCCCCGGCACGGGCTAGGCGACCCGGAAACACTTCAAGACAAAACCTATCGAACGGAAGCAACCGCGAAGCTCCCATATATGTGTACACATGTGACTGTGTACAGGGTCTGAAGGCTGGTGGAACTCCAATCGAGGCTTGGCCATGGATACCACCGCCGCACTCATCAGATAAGGAACCCTTCAGGGTCTGAAGCCAACTGGGCACATTCCTTGACGAACGCTTCCGCCATATCATATGCATAGATGTAGCAGGACCATCCTCCAGACGGATCCATCTGCCCCATTTGTATATGTAGATATATGTGGTGGGACCATCCATCAGACGAATCCATCTGCCGACAAGGGTGTGGTCCTGCTGATGCCATCGCTGGCAAACATCCCGTCAATGCCAGCCTCCGCGTCGCCTCTCGATCTGCCCAAGGAACGCACACAGTAAGCTTGCGACGGATCACCTCGTCCTCGTCTCCTGACCGTCCTCGTCCTACTCTTTACCTACTTCACCTCGTCCTCGTCCTCGTCCTCGTCCTCCTACTCTTTACCTGTCCTCGACCTCCTCGTCCTACTCTCTACCTATTCTCACAGCGAGGAGCGCAAACTGTTAGGTGTGTGCGCGTGCCCGAGGGGCGGGCGCGCATGGGCCCTGTGTTCGGTGGTTTCCTCGACTTTCTACGCCTCGTCGCTGCGCGCGAGGCGCGGACGGCTCCAATAATGCGTGTGTGTGTGTGTGTGTATGTGTATGTGTGTGTGTGTGTCCGTGTTCGTGTTTGTGTTCGTGTTTGTGTTTGTTTTTGTGTGTTGTTGCGTTTGCGTTTGTGTTTGTGTTTGTGCTTGTGCTTGTGCTTGTGTTTGTGTTTGTGTTTGTGGTTGTGTTTGTGTTTGTGTTTGTGTTCGTGTGTGCGTGTGTGTGTGTGAATGCGTGCGTGCGTGCGTGTGTGGGTGTGTGTGTGTGTGCGTGTGTGTGTGTGTCGGGCCATCAAGGGCGCGCGTCCCGCAACCGCAGCTACGGGTGTGTGTGTGTGTGTTCGTGTTCGTGTTTGTGTTCGTGTTTGTGTTTGTCTTTGTGTGTGTTGTTGCGTTTGCGTTTGTGTTTGTGTTTGTGTTTGTGTTTGTGCTTGTGTTTGTGTTTGTGTTTGTGTTTGTGCTTGTGTTTGTGTTTGTGTTCGTGTGTGCGTGTGTGTGTGAATGCGTGCGTGCGTGCGTGTGTGGGTGTGTGTGTGTGTGTGTGCGTGTGTGTGTGTGTCGGGCCATCAAGGGCGCGCGTCCCGCAACCGCAGCTACGGGTGTGTGTGTGTGTGTGTGTGTTCGTGCTCGTGTTTGTGTTCGTGTTTGTGTTTGTTTTTGTGTGTGTGTGTTGTTGCCTTTGCGTTTGTGTTTGTGCTTGTGTTTGTGCTTGTGTTTGTGTTTGTGTTTGTGCTTGTGTTTGTGTTTGTGTTCGTGTGTGCGTGTGTGTGTGAATGCGTGCGTGCGTGCGTGTGTGGGTGTGTGTGTGTGCGTGTGTGTGTGTGTGTGTCGGGCCATCAAGGGCGCGCGTCCCGCAACCGCAGCTACGGGTGTGTGTGTGTGTGTGTGTGCTTGCGTGCGTGCGTGCGTGCGCGTGTGTGTGTGTGTGTGTGATTGTGTGGGTCTGTGTGGGTCTGTGTGTGCGTGCGCGCGCGTGCGCGCGCGCGTGCGAGCGTGCGCGCGTGCACGCGTGCGTGTGCGTGTGCGTGTGCGTGTGCGTGTGCGTGTGCGTGTGTGTGTGTGTGTGTGTGTGTGTGCGTGCGTGTGCGTGGGCGTGCGTGGGCGTGCGGGGGCCTGTGAATGCGTGTGTATATGTGCGTGTGCGTGTATGTGACCGTGTATGTGTTTGTGTGCGTGGGTGCGTGTGTGTGTGTGTGTGTGTGCTTGTCTTGCCGTACCACGTGTACGTTTAGTGCCCCCCTATGAGGCCAATGTCGCATGCAAATAGAAACGCGAACTGCGTCCCTGCTAACTCCTGACTGCCGGTAGCGTCCCATCTTGGATGTCAGAAATGGGCAAACATACAGCGCGTGCATTCCCGCGACGAGCCGATTGTTTCGCGCGCACACGCCTCGGCACCACAGCCAGAGGTAATACAAGCCCGTTGGGATTATATGCTCGCGCAATACTTGACTGGATGTCGGAATACCACAGACGCAGGAGCACAGAAGGTGGTTCGTGACTCTACCCTGGCATCACACTTGACGGGCATTCTTCAATGCCGTCGTGCCTCTGCGTTTGCCCTCTCGCAAGCTACATGAAGAGGAGCCTGGCAGACCGGTGCGAGTGGCCAGATGTAACTCGCAAACCGACAGAGTTGAAGGCAACCGCAGGGCAGCGACAGGGCTGAGCCTCGAAACGCCCTACTGCATCATTCAAAAAGCCAGCCAGCCCCTTCCTGAAGGAGCCGACCTCAAGGGGTGCAGCCAGTCGAATTGGCGCCTGTTGCGCATGTGACCAGCGCGCCCACGGTCAGAGTTTCCAGGAGTCGACGAGGTCGAGCGGCGGCTCGGGCATGTT